GTGTGTGTTAATCAGGTGGATGTGCGAGTGCTTATGCGTGTGTCTGCGAGAGTCGAGGTTGCGCTAAATTCTTACAATATGACAAATACCATCTGAGACAGGAGTTGAGCTTCTAAACTTCTTGGTGCGATCACTGTCATGCGCTGTGAAGGTGGCCATGGGTAAGCGTTATAGCCATGGCCGAATTTTTTGGGAGGACTCTTAAGGTGCACAAGAAGAAAATTCTACTGCAGCGGAATTTCCGGCATGTAGAAGATATCGGTGCATCTATTTTGCAGAGAGTCTTAATGCAGGATGCACGCTCAAATCGAGAGGGAGACCAGGTATGCCAGCACTGCCTCAAGAGATACAAGGGCATTGTTTCAACTTACTCAGATTCTTGCAATACTGGTGACTCCTTTATTCCGGAGCACGAAACGGTCGGTGAGATCAACAAGTTGACAGATTTTGCTAACATTTCATCAATGATGCTCCCTGGTCATATTCCTAAATTGCGAAGAAAAGCACATGCAGAAAAAAAGTGGGGAAAAAAATGAAAAGTGCCATTTCAAGGAAAACTCAAGCAGAAGTCAGCACCATATTTGGAACAACTGGCAGTCCTGGGAAGTCGAGTAGTAATTGTGGTGTCTGCATTGAATGGCTGGTAAACTTGGGAAAAGCCTGCCAAGCATCAACCTTTTACAAAGAGCACCAGCAATTGTTGACACTACTGCCAGCAAAACTTGATACACGAACAATCCAAGTCGTGACGTTAAGTCTATCAAGTTATATGCTTCAAAAGTCACAAAGCTGGCATGAGAAGCATGGTGTGTGGGTTGCCCCAGATCCACAGTACAGATCTTGCCGTGGAATATTACTATGGAATATTACTCAAAAGATGAGCATGGGTGCTCATGGCAAAGCCCGTACAAAAAGGACGTTGTGGCTGTTATTGTTGATGGTGAAAAATGGCACATCGCCAGGAGATTCACGACTCACTCCGATTGGGAGGCATATCTTGTATTTAAAGAAAATAATCAAAACATTTCTATGACTTGTCAAAATTTTAATCTCTCCGGCCTAGTTGGGCTCTGCTTCCACACCAAGAAGCTTGTCTTTGTTTATACTGTGCCAACACCATGCTTTACGTTCCGGCTTTCAAAAGCTTGATTGGTGATATCTATATTGTCGAGGACTTCAAGGAACTGTGCATATGCTTGTCACCAACAATGCAGTGTTACCTCAGTGATTGAGTTGTGTCCATTGAGAGATGGAATAAGTATAAGAACGTTGGGGGCACCCTTAGAGGCTGACGTCACCTATGTGGTGTAGGAAAAAAGGGACCTTACAAAGGAAACATCGCCTGTGGCTTCCTTTGTGATGGAGCTTGCAAACTGGATCTCAAAGTGGGTCTTGCGTGATTATATATGGCGAAAACAGTCTGTGGCAATTCATGAAGCAAAACAATGCGAGCAGGAAGCATCGTTTGTACTATATTTTGACTTCACAGAAAATTAAACCGCAGTTGTTCCAAATAAAGTTTAGTTCTATTATTGGCACAAGAAACAAGTGTCAATTTTTACTTGTGTTGTAACTACCAGAAGGGCAACACGCACTTACGCAGTTATAAGCAGTGACATGTCACATGACACAGCCAGTGCCTGCTTCGGGTTAAGCAAAGTCCATGAGTGCCTTCAAATACACGCTGAAATCCGTGTCACCTACATAAGTGACAGGCAGCAAGCCACTTCAGGAACGAATTTCAGTTGTATGAGCTGTCACAAAAATGCTACAAAGCAACAAACTGGCTCTTCTCTTGCCTATGTACGCATTGGGGCTAACAAAAACCAAACCTTTTGGCGACTGCTCTTCGGAAGTTCTTTTCGATACCTGCAAGCGACCCTGCTTTTAAATTCTGGCTCCAGCACTGCGTCATAAGAGAAGCACGAAGGGAGTGCATTCTTGAGCATATCGAAGATATGAATTCTGTTTAACTGAATTAGGTGAAATAAAAAGAGGGTACGAATGGATGAGCTGCCTGTTTACTCGGGAATTTCAAACAATGTCGGGGAGGTGTAAACCACAAAAATAAATTTACCTGGAACGATACTTTTCTATACAAAATGGTTTCCACTCACCTAAAAACATCATTAGTGCCATCTAGGCAAAATTTGAAGAGAAAAAAAGGCATTTTATTTTGTTTTTTGTCGTAAGAAATGTCTTATTGGCACTAGCGACCGAACTCTGAAAACATAATCGTTGACATTTTTGAATTTTTGTTCCAACAAAAATGATGCAACATGTTTTTTCACATTATGATTTTACATTTCTATGAGAGCATTTTTGTGGGATATTGAACGAAATTGGGGATGCAATTTTTTTATATTCATTTTTAAATCGAAGAACACTTTGGTTTTTTGGAAATCAAGCATAACAATTTATTACTTTAAAAACTAATGTACAAATAAAAATGCACGCATTGCTTGTTCACATAAAGACCGATTCATACTGCAAATATGAACGACCCAACGTGTTCACAGAGGTAGCCGCAGTGTCCCAAAATCGACCCATTTCTAAGAGTGCAGCGTTTTAGGGCAATGTTTAAAAATATATAGTTTCCTCAAAACTTTATTAAACAATGGGAACTACTTTCTCTTTACTTCTATTTCTGTCAAGAAAATCTATATTTGTGGTATATAGCATCAGTGGCTGTAGGCATGGTCGTGATCTTCAAAAAACGCACTTTTCGTAAAACGGTTGCCGTCAACCGTCGAATTGTAAAATTTTTCTCTGTTGAAAAAAGATTTTTATTTGAAAATGAATTATGAATTACAATTTGGCACTATTTTGTCTTGGGGGCATATCATGCAAAGTTATCAGAAAAATGGGAGACATCAAGTATACCATGTTTATCGATCTTAAGTGGAATTGACCAGACACATCTCAAAATTAGCATGCATGAGTAGTTGCATCACCTGTTAACAATCCTTCGGCCAATAAATTTTATGGTCATCTAGTTAACGTGCCACCCAGTGGTTTTTCAATAATGTCTCTATTGGTTTTATAGTTTCTGTATGGTCCGAGTACAGCCACATTCATGTCTGTGTGTAACACATGAGCAGCAGCCTTGCTCTGCGGGGTGGCACTTTCTGGGCTTTGACTAGTATGCCCAGGAGCATGTACGGCCTAATGCATATGCTTACCTGCTTTGTACGAGTGACAGCATTGAAATGTGCACTTGCTTAACCGTAGATGTACACTCTTTTAGGAAATGGCGCATTTCGACTGATCACACTCGTCTGTCAGGCACGTGTTATCAGTCTAAACATGTCATCTTTTTTAATCGAAATGCTGAGTTTGCAGTTCAATTTTGCTTATGCTTTGCCAAGCTCCTTGGGTGCCAAAAAACTACTCCGAGGCAAACTTTCGGTGACGGAAAAATCTGATGTCAACAGACTCAACGTCAATCACAAAACGAAGTATGTTAGATGCAAGTTATCCATGGTATATTGTTTACCCCTATCGTGTGGGAAAGCTTACATTGGCCAGACTGGCCGATGTCTGAACACCAGGCTGTTAAAACACAAGAGATCTTTAGAAACAAATAATAATTCCCACCTTAAGCGACACTGTACTCAGTGTGGCTGCTTCCCCTATTTAATGACATGATAGTGGTTTTTTATCTCGGAAACCAATTAACCGGGCAAATAGTTGAATTATTTCACATTAACAAAAGAAAGGACTGCTGAAATAGTCAATCATTCATTTTATTAAGTCATCAGAAAGCCATTTTCCTGGAAGGGCTTTAATCAAAAATGTTCATTTTTACATTTGCTATGTTGGTTCTTGTTGCAAACTTTCATGTTAAGCACGTGCGAGTTCTAGTTGAACGTCTTGCAGATTACTTTGTGTACATTTTTTGAGCTCTACATTTTTATATCTTTGAAGTGCGCAGGCTGCACTTGCTCCGTTTTTATCCATTGAGTACATGTAAATTGTGCTTCGTGGATAAGAAAGCATTAAGCTCATTTCAGCATGTGCCGTGATTATTTTACCATTAAGTGCTGAAAATTTGCTATTGGATATGTTTTCGGTGCCTGTTATTTCATTTTTGTGTCACTCAGCGTCAGCATGGGTGCATATACTCTACAAAGTATTTTCCTGAAATAAATTTAGTTACGATTGTCGTGTCCTTCTTGTCTCTGTTGTCCATGTTAAAAAGTGCGCCAGATAACCTTACTGAATAATGATGAGAGTCACCACTAGCACAGCTCTCAACTTCATCCGGCTAAGCTGATGCTGGAGCTCACTTTATGTGATGCTGATGGTGAGTGGTCAGCCGTCGTTTGGTGTTCCGCTATCATGTGCAAAGTTTTGGTTTCACGCCCCGCCGCGGTGGTCTAGTGGCTAAGGTACTCGGCTGCTGACCCGCAGGTCGCGGGTTCGATTCCCGGCTGCGGCGGCTGCATTTCCGATGGAGGCGGAAATGTTGTAGGCCCGTGTACTCAGATTTGGGTGCACGTTAAAGAACCCCAGGTGGTCGAAATTTCCGGAGCCCTCCACTACGGCGTCTCTCATAATCAAATGGTGGTTTTGGGACGTTAAACCCCACAAATCAATCAAGTTTTGGTTTCACGTTCAATGCTGGGTGTTGCGTAAGCTTTATTTCTGTACGGTTTACTCCACAGAAATATTTGTCAAATCTTCCAACTGTGAAAAAAAAAACTGAAAAAAACTATTTTTTTTCCGGAATTTTTCTGTTTTGTTCCGCATTCCATCCCTGGTCACGCTGCAGACCAAGGCCAGCTGTCCCCACTCTTTGTATAAGTTTCGATACAGCTGTACATGCAGCCTTGGTCATTGTATTGTAATCAATTTTACACAGTAAAAACCGCTTGAGAGGGTCAATAGATGCTACATCCTTCTGTATCTGCCTTTCCTTTCTTGTAATTTTTGCTGTGCGAAACTCGGCCCAACGTAATTGTGAGCATTCACCAGCTTTGCCCAATTTTCATGTCCAGGCCCAGTACGAGGATGTGCGCTGCAAGTGCATCTGCCCCAGCACCGCAGTGGTCAAGGGCTCCCAGACCAACCGCAAGCTCTACATTATGAATGTGCCTCCACAGAGATGGTGAGCATCATCCATGCACCTCCCACATTTGGCATGATTTAGTCATCTTGCGAAACCATAAGCATTTCAGGTTTGATGCACCTCAGGGGCTAGGTTTCTCGGCGTCTTCTGTCGTCGTGGAATGTCATATAGTCGGGGTCTATCATAAAATGCACCGCAGTGACACCTTTCTTTTCTCAATGGTTTTTATTAGAATTGATTCGAGATCAAAGCGAGTAAATGCGTGCCTCTGTGGCTCCTCATGCCTGGCAAGAAGCCTGGCACTACGCTGCACACGTGCTGCTACTAAGTGTGTAACAGGCTCTCCACTTCAATTGCTGCAAGGAGTCTGGCATGTGACTGATTCATCGTGAGCCTTAGTGCCTGGGAAATGGAGAAGACCTGGCACAGGCTCTGTTTACTGAAAACTCAAGTTTATTGATAAAAAAATCTGCTTCTTTTGGTTGACAAAAAAGTCACAATAGCCAAAGATATGCTTAACGAGAACATCTATGAACAAAACAAAATACAAACCAAATTTTGTTTAGCACACATGAAGAACATAAATCGTTATAGCGAACGGCATACTGAACTGCCTACTGAAAGTTATCTCACAGGTTTATTCACAAGGTCAGCAAACTTGGCTTCCAACAAAAGTAGCAAGTGGTGGCTAACATATATGCCATCTTTCAAGGAACACTAAACACAAATAAATATTGAGTCATTGTTCGTGGCTGCATTAGTGATCCAGACACCTCGTAGTACTACATTGTAGGGAGACTACTTGAAGTGCTACCTCGTAGTGATCCACACACCTCATAGTACTATTTTGAAAAATAAGATAACATTTTAGTGGTTTGCACGGCATTCGTGCACTTCAAGTCACATGCCTGAAGACGGGCCTCTCTCATGTAGCAGTTGCCTTGCCTAACATAACTCACCTATACTGCACGGCCACCAGCATACGTAAAGGGTTGTAGGACTGCAGGGTTACTGGACGGAGCCGTCGACATACTGTGATGGTGTGTGCAACCACAGTCATAGACGCGTTTGTATTTGCCTGGAATGTTTTAGGAAAAAAAAACATATTAGAAAAGCAACCTATTCATAATTATGTCAGTAGAATGCATGATGTTTTTTCAATAAAATTTTTCTACTTGCCTGATTCAAGTTGATCTCGCTAGATGGCACTACCAGTCCAGCCTAACCTGGCGAAAAAAAAAAAAAACTTTTTGAACCAATCTTGCGATTCCTTAAAATAACACCAAGTGATTCCTTTTTTTCCTTGAATCAAGTGTAAATAAAGCAGCAGCATTTTATTACGTGTCGTAATGCACAAATATTTTTTTGCAACTGTTTTAATCACTAGTGGTTAGTTGTGATCGGACCCTCTGAAGTCACTGCGATAATTTCAAAATGTCGCACTGAGGGCATGTATGATGTCGTACATTTACCTTCATTCTTCAGTAAGTACAGCACTGCTGTTGATAATAATAATGTTCTAAACATTCTCAAACATTGATCCCCCACTCTGAAATAAATTGTTACTTGACCTTAGTGTCCCTTTAATCATGGCAGCTTCAAGCAGTTTTCTAGCCACTTAGTGCTTGTGTGCAAACAAAATCTGCGTAGCATCTGAACATGGTGAACACCTGCAACAGCTTTTGCTATGCGAAATGCGTGGGAGGCATGTTTTTCAAAGGGCTGTGGTGTTCTCTTAGACAAAGGCAGCACCTATCTTGTTCTCTGTCCTGCTGTGCAAAAGTGGTGATTGACTGATTGCAGCAACTGTGAAGGGGTGATCCTGCCCCAGGCGAACGACATCAAGGGCCGAGAGAGCGAGTTTTGTCCGCGCTGCAAGTGCCGCTACGAGCGCCGCAACACCACCACGATCCGCGTGCTGGTCATCCTCATCATCTGGGTCATCTCCCTGCTCTCGGTGTACATGCTGTTCTTGATGTGCCTCGACCCACTGCTCAACCGGCGTAAAGCAGCCTCTGCCTACCAAGAGCACGTCGATGAAGAGCTCAATCTGGTGGGTGGTCGGGAAGCATGGACTGGCTTTCGCGCTATTCAATATTCCCAAGGAGTCCCTTCAACATTCTTCACAGCTAAGAACGCACTGGAGTCATTGCAGCACAGTGTACAGGCACGTCTACATCTGTGTGTAGCGTGGAGGCAACTAGGCTCGCTCTGCAGCGCAACACTTTGCGGCAGTTGCAGGCTCTTGCATGGTGTAACCAGGAGCAAGCATGGCTTAATAAACATGCTGGCCTGCTTCACACGAGTGACAGCTTTAAAAGGTATCCTTGTTTAACCAAAGAAGCATGCTCTGTTAGGGTGCTTTTGGCAACTCGATTCCAAAAGATGACACGTTTTGGCTGACAACACACACATACAACTGATAACACATGCCTAGGTGCATGCATATTTATTAGGCTGCGCATGCCCCTGGGCACACCACATCAGAGCCCGCAACCACTGCAAGGTGTCGCACCGCAGAGCAAATCTGGCTGCTCATGTGCCATACACAGACGTGGAGATAGCTGTACATTCATTCAAAAAAATGTTCCAAGAGTTCCTCATTATGAGAACTTGCAGCTATGTAAAAGAAAATTTAGTTTTCCTACTGGTCTTGAACACCCCTTCAGCCAGGGGTGGTTACATCCGTGTGCACGACTTGTTCTTGCTGTCAACTGCAGAAGTGTGCTGCATTTCCTATTCTCTTCTCAGGAGGTTATTACCAAGGGCATCTGCCAAAAAGTCTTTTCTAGACTCGGGTTGTACCGTGCTCTCATTACATGGCCAAGAGAGACCGTGCATTAGAGTAATTGAGCCTTTTGCATTGTGAGTGCGTCTTGACTTAAATTTAGTGTGCTGCGTGTGACTGCACTTGATTACTTCGAGTACAGACAACAGTATTCACTGCCTGCACTCAAGGGGCAAAGCCGACAGTATATTTTTTCTTTGCTCAAAATGAGTAGAGCTGCAAATTGTACATGTATTTGGAAAAATAGCTTTGATTCTTGTATGAAAAAATAAAACATTTGTGATATCAAATAAATATAATTTAGCTCAAGGTAAGTACAACTAAATACTGAAAATTACACTGAAAAACTTATCACAATTGTTTTTTACTTCTGTTATTAATTGTTTTGGAATAATCATGTGTGAATGTGACACATTTGCATACAGATCTTCATGAAGTGTATGGATGGGCAGGTTGCCTTCTGGCTTGTTGCTGCATTTATAAAAAGCAAATGCCATGGGGTCCTGTGGAACATTCACATTAATTACCATTTAATCAACAAATATTGATCATGAAAGGGACACCAAAGTGAAACAATGACTAGATTTAGATTGATGACCTGCAATCTGTAGGGGTGCTAACGCACCTTGTAAAGTTCTTTGTGCCTCGTAGCGCATGTGTCTCGCACAGAGGCCGCATTCAGGGGTCACTACTGTCTAGCGGTAGGTAGCGTTGTGCTCGCCAGCGTGTATCACCACAATCATCATCATGGTTAGAACAGTAGCGCCGGCACCACGAGTTGTCTGCCGGGGGTCCTCATGGTGAGTCAAGCATTGGTGACGCCGCCTTGTGTTTGTCTTGTTGTTATGTGTTCTGTAATATTGTGTAAGGATGTTATAGCATGTTGATCACAATGAATGTTATATCGATTCGGCTGGCAATATTGTTGCTCTAAAAGTAGTTAAGTAAATGTGTGTTGTTTGGTTCGTTTCAACCGCGTCTACTGTGTGCGTTCACTCCAAGGGCGTGGCACTCTCTCCATATTGAGACCCCACAACTCTCAGAACTCTAATGCCTCAAGTTTTGCTATCATAAGTTCACTATCAGTGGTGGAAGTCAAGGTTAAAGTTTAATTTTAAATTTTGCACCACAGTCTTCGTGCATGACGACAAAAATTTTAATATGCATTATTCCTATTTTTTCGGCATTGGTTTGATAAAATTTTCTGAAAGTTCGTATGGCACCAACAGATGGCAACGTTCTTCATTTTTATTGATTACAAATGGTGTGGGGCCCCAGCATAGGGTAGCCAACTGAGAACGCGTCTAGTTAACCGCCCTGCCTTCTCTCTTGTGGTTCATCTTTCCCTCCTATGGCTGTGGCGGCTGCATTTCCGATGGAGGCGGAATGGTTGTAGGCCCGTGTACTCAGATTTGGGTGCACGTTAAAGAACCCCAGGCGGTCAAAATTTCCGGAGCCTTCCACTACGGCGTCTCTCATAATCAAATAGTGGTTTTGGGACGTTAAACCCCACAAATCAATCAAATCAATCCCTCCTATGGCATCACGATGCAGGAATCTCAAGGTAGTGCTGGGGTGCAACAGCTGCGCCAATTGTGCCACTTTGATATAATTTCTTATTTTCGTGCTGAAGTGCACCAAAGCAATGAAATCTGCTGAAATTGTGCCGAAATGCCTGTGCACTATTTTCCGCAAGAAATGAAGGCCACGTTGGCTACCTGTAGTTTGCATCCTCAATCAATCCAAGAATGTAGATGCGCCAACCCTTACCCTAAACCACGGCAGGACACTTGTGAAACGATCGACCAGATAAAGTAACAACTCCGCACCCTCGTCGGTCCGCTGACCGCAGCGGATAAAGAAGTAAAGCTGGGAGCCTATGCCGCTGTTACTGCGCGTGAACAAACTCGACCTGCTGGAAACGCTGGTGTTGCCGGCAACCACGTTTAGTTACTATAGCAACGGCGCATACCATAATAGATAAGTGGTGCCGACACCAGGCCAATGTGCATGTGTCGGTGTTACATTATATAGTCAAATGCGCCTTGCAAGTGTGCTAGCAAGGTGCAAGTGTGTTTGAAGTTGTGCCCTCAACTTAATTCTATCGTGAAAATAAAAAGGGGGGGGGGCTGTAGCGGTTCGAAAATTTCTTAGCCTTGCTGTAGACCATGCAGAACACTGCTTAAGCCACCTTTGCCGCAGTACACTGGTGACGTGCACAAAAAGTGTTTTAAGATTTGGAAGAAGCATTTGTCACGGTACACAGCACAGTTTGTTCAAATACTCATGCTTGTATACGCAGCATAATTGTGAGTACTAGTATGATCGCTGGCATCTAAACATCCAAAGCTGTTAATAGCAATTGTTTAGAGAACTGTATAACATTTGTGCAGCCATAAAAAAATCAAACAAAAGTGTGCGTCACTTTTTTTTCCACCCCTAATCTTGGCAGATCCAGATTTGAATTCTAAGTCTGCCAAAGGGTTTGACCGGCGTGCAAATGCTAACCTGAACTCCATTGTTTGCTGAGTGTGGTGGTTCAAAATAATTTAATTGAAACAAAAGTTATCCTTTTTTCTAAATGTAAGCTGCTTCTAATGTGACACTGCTTCGGATTTAGTTTTTCGTGATAAACAATTTTTTTTTCTCTATAACCTGCTCTAAATTCGGATTTTAGTGTTTCAAAAGTAACATTTTGCTGCTCCAAAAATTGCTCTAAATTTTATTTTGGCTTTTGTACTTCTCGTTGTGTCTCTACCCACATTTTTTTTGTGCATTTTTTCGCTTACCAGTCACCTCATGGTCTCGTGGCGAGAGTGGTGTTTTTGGAATTGTGAAATTAGACTTCATAATAAGCAAACAATCATTTTTATTTTTAGTGTTGCAAAAGTATAGAAAGTTGTGCTAGATGGTATGGTAGCATATATTTGGGTACTGCGTGAGAGCAGCTAAGATAGAAAGTGCAGAAGGGAGCGCTGTCTCGCAATTAAAAAGATTTACTCGAACACAAAAACACAACAGGAATGACACAATGTATTAACATTGCACAAAACTATTAAAAATGAATCAAAAAGGGACATGACATATCACCTTGTGGTACACGTCCTGAGGACAAACTTTTTATTTGTGAGAGGCGATAATGCCTCACTAATACAGGTGTCACCCATTGAGTAAATGTGGAATGCCTCTAATCAGTTGTCCGAGAATCATGTTTTGACAATACCTCTGCATCAGCATACTAATTGCTGCGCGATGCCAGATGCAAAGCTTTTGGATTATTGAGCAAATGTTTGTGCTGTCTTGAGTGCACATCAAGTGCACAGCTGTAAAGCACACATGAAGAAGCTCGAAAGTGCTGGGTACTCTGCTTGTGTGCGTGCACAGAAGAGCTAATCAAATTGCCGAAAAGTCAGGGTCTTGTGAATATAAAAAGTTCAAACAAGAAGACTAAAAGTCAGTAGCAGTACTACTGTAGATACATACAATAGTACTGTTACTGTCACATGGTTTGAGCAACGTTGGTCTCGGGTTTGGAGTGAAATCAGTGTGCTCGGCTCCTGACAATTTTTATAGAATTTGCCTGATGGTTATGAGGAAAATGGAGCCAATATATTAAATTTGTACGCTGTAATTGTAACAGCTTTATTGTATTATAACTCTGCTATGTAATGCCTACTCAGACGCTTAGGGTATTTAAAAGTGACAGTGGAAGTAAACCATTTTCTTTGTTTGTACCTTGCAAAAGCAGTAGTGTTTACCAGAGCTGCGCATCGGGCATTGTGCTGCAACACGTGTAACTGCTCACCTGTCTTTTCCGATGCAGAGATAATTAGCCAGACAACTAGAGAAATAATGCCTACTGAAATAAGGCATTGTTGCCTTTTACAGTCGGCACATGATATGCAATGTCCATTAATTTTTAACCGTCTGCACAGTGCTGATAAGCTTTAAAGCTAAAGCTGTGTATGGTTAGATGAAACTAACAACTGTTCACCACAAGAAGCGTCTCCATTGGCTGCTTCATAAGTCACGTTCTCTATGTTCTGCCCTTACACACGCACTATTGTGCAGCACTTTCAATGGAGGGGCTTTGATAGAGGAAAGATGAAGCAAAAAGTGCAGCATCGTCTTTCTCATTGAAGGCCACCTCGACAGCACTGCACAGGGATGTAGGAGAGAAAGAATATGGAGAGGATGGAAAAAAGTCGAACGATGCTTTGTACGTTCCAAAGAGTGTTTGGCAAACGCCTGTGCCCATTCAAACGGGTTCAATCAGAATGGAATGCATTGCGTGCGTCTCCCTTCTCACATGACTAGACCTGCTGGGCAGAGCGACTCTTAACCAACCAAAATGCGAGTGCTGTAGAGACCGACGCGAGGCGCAACTGGCGTCCGTTCACGCACCCTGGTGGCCACCTGGCACTGTTCCAGGGTAGAGACATATGGACGTGAGCATGAGACAACAAAGGCTTTTGCCTTAAAAGGGGGTAAACACCCTGCCTGCATGTGCACTGTCGCCTCTTAGCCAAGGAAAGCCGTCAAGCAGATCAACAGGCAAAGGAGGGATGTAAATGAACATCACATGACAAGGTCAAAGTCGCATGAAGAGTTCAGCATGGCAGGAAGGTTCAACTTCCACATGGGAACGGCACAGATTGTACAAGAGGCAAATTTCCAAGAACAGCGGCGACAGCTGACCCGTGAGAGAATTCATTTTCGCCGGGCCGATGAAGCACTCTGGGTAGTCCAGACACAAGAACAGGGCTGAGTGGCAAGGTGCAATAGGTACTGCGCACCAAGGATCTGGCACCCTTGCAAGTCTCATGCAAACGATAATGGCGAGCTGAGGAAATGGCATTGTACATGCAGCAGCATCAATGTGTCAGTGACAGCATCGCGCTTGCCGGGGCCAACACTCGCTATAAGCAGGAGTTTCTTGGGTGGCTTTGGCTGCGATGTCTGCAACTGCCTGGGGCTGCAAGTTTCAGCTTCACTGGTTAGTCAGCTGTAAGGAATGCTTAGACAGTGATTTTTTTTTCTTTTCTTACTTGTATGTATTCCTAGATTAATCTTTTTCAGTTGCAAGTCAGCGCTTGTCTGCGTCTTTTTTACTCTCTTCTAACGTCATCGTTTTTGTGCTGTACCCAGACATGCTAAAGGAAACATATTGTTCGTTTGAGAGATGATGCTACATTGAATGTACATTCCCAAATACATGAATTTGTGGAGTGAAAGTGAACTGTGTTCATGCAGCTCACAAACTGCAAAAATATTGCTAACTTTGCCGCACACATGCTTTTTACTTGCTCCTAATAGAAAAGAATGTCATTGGGCATAGATGAAAATGTAAGTATGAACGTAAGTCATCCAGAGCCTGGATTAGTTCGATCATATTTCAGTTCTGTTTGGCTTTTGTTGTGGCCTTGTGCAAAGAGATGTGGTTATGTACTGTCTTGGTGAATGTGCATGCAGCAGCGTGAAAGTTATGGCTGTTAGTAAAGCTTCTTAGTCTTAATTCACGATACTATATTTCAACTGTTCATCCATGACGCAGTTAAAAGCCATTACTATGTGTAATTTTACTAATATGCATATAGGTGTACGATGTCATACACAGCTGACAGTATCATCGACTGATATTTTAACTTTGCTTGTTTCTTAATAATACAGTAAGCAAGTGAATGTCTGTCGTGTGTAAATAACTTGACCATCATTGGCTCAGAGGTATTTCTTCATTAGCCTTGCCTGCCCTTTGTTTAAACCTTCGCTCATGCACATGTGAGTTCACCTAAATAATTGAAAAGAGTAGATGCAGTACGGGATGACACACAGTGAGTAAAACGATCTAGGGGAGTCAGTTGGGCTCTATCTATTGAGCTAAGATGGCGGGCAATTTGTGAATTGGTTGGCAGAAGCCTTTGCCGTAGCCAGGCAAATAATAATGATGAAGACAAATCAAACAAACATCAAGTAGTATAGAAAACTGGGCAAGTTGGTAAGGATTCGTGGCTTGTCAAGGTAAACAGCGCAAAAAACAAAGACAGAGTATAGGAAAGACTCAAGACAAGCGCTGACTTTTAACTCAAAGAGTAGTCATGTTGTGTCTTTACTATGCTCTGTCTTATTTTTTTTTGTGCTGTGTCCTTACTATGCTCTTTTTTTGTGTGTGTGTGCTGTTCACCTTGACCAGCTGTGAAAAATAAACACCAACCACAAATAAAAGCAACATAAAAGGTGGACACTTTGGCTACTACATGGGAGTCTTGTTCACGAACATCCTGCTTTCATAGGTAAAATGAATTTCTTGTCCGTGTTTACTTTGTGCTGTCTTTAGCTATGGATACATACCAAGTGGCTCGCATTAACTCTCGTTCTAAGTTATATTGCTTATATCATAGTGTCTTATAAGTATACTAGAGAGAAGTATGGCACTAGTGTCTATAAGTGTAGAAATAAATAAATTTGACTAAACTTTATTGGTTCGACTTCATGTGGCCGCTTTGTTGCGTGATGCAGTTCATTAAATGTTTAGCAGTTCCACTTCACTACCTTAATCTTTTGGGTTCATCAATTCAAATCATCTCACATAGTTCCTGATGATTCATTTTTTTTATTTTTAAAACATATGCTGAAGCAAAATAAAAATCAAAGCTGCAGGTGCGTTTTAAGCTGGAAACACAGATTAGGCAAATTTGTCCAGTACCCGTCATCCTCATGATGTATTAATCATTGCATTGCTAGAGTTCCCTCTAGGTTATGTCTGAAACTTTATGACTTTTATGTTGCTTTCATTTGTGGTTGGTCGTCTTCATGTCTTTTGCCCCGCCGCAGTGGTCTAGTGGGTAAGGTACTCGGCTGCTACATTGCATTGCTAGAGTTCCCTCTAGGTTATGTCTGAAACTTTATGACTTTTATGTTGCTTTCATTTGTGGTTGGTCGTCTTCATGTCTTTTGCCCCGCCGCAGTGGTCTAGTGGGTAAGGTACTCGGCTGCTGACCCGCAGGTCACAGGATCAAATCCCAGATAGGGCGGCTGCACATTCGATGAAGGCAAAAATGTTGTAGGCCTGTGTGCTCAGATTTGCATGCACGTTAAGGAACCACAGGGGATCAAAATTTCCGGAGTCCTCCACAACGGCGTCTTTGATAATGATATGGTGGTTTTGGGACGTTAAACCCCAAGTATGATCAGTCTTCTAGTCTTTTCCTGACTACGCTTCTTGACTTCATGATGACGAGTGAGGGCTTTCGTGGTAACGTCAACTGCTGCTGTCTTTCAGGAGGAGCCCCTGCCAGTTCACCAGCAGCGCACACGTCGCTCAAGCAGCAGCGTGCTCAACAAGGTGGGCCAGCAGCAGGACAAGTGGAAGCGCCAGGTCCAGGAACAGCGCAGAAACATCTATGACAAGCACACCATGCTCAACTGAGTTATCTCTGCAAAGCAGCCACCAGAGGAGGATTCATCCTCTTTTGGCCCCACGGGCCTAAATTGCACTGAATCTTGGCTGTCTTTTTTTTCTGTTTTTTTTGCATTAGTCTGGAGAATTTCCAAATCTTCCTTGGTTGACCTCGTATGAGACATTCTTTGACATTTTGATTGAGTGTACTAAGACGAGGACAGAGAGAGGTACAACAACATGGGCAGTCAACGTTCAACTTGCTTAATCACAGAAAGGCGTAGCTGTACATAGTGACCTATGATATGGGGAAAAACCATTACATCTGCTTGTCAGCCTAGCAGGGAGACCACTTGTAAAAAAAAACATAATTCAAATTGAAATAATCTAATGCATCGCTTACACAGTAACTGTTTTTTTGTTGAACATAATATGCCTGTAGCAGCTTCCTGACAGACCAATAACAGCGTGAGCAATACGTCTATACAATGTTTCATTCAGAAATACAGTTGCCTGCCCTGCTAGGCTCATTAGCAGAGGGAACTAACTGTTCCTGCGCATGTCAAAAAATCCTACATACGGCTACGTCTTTTTGTGAATACTGTATATACTTGAACAATTTGCACACTTTTTTTCATGATTCTGGAGCTCCGAGAAGGGTTGCACAAATTACGCGGGCATTTCGTGAGCGCATACAAAATAATGTTCAATAGTCCTAATGCAGGAAGAATCGTGCGAAAGAAGTTCGCACAGTAAAGAAAGTAAAAGAAATTGGAGCACCAACCAAGTGTACTTGTTTATTTAACAGAATTAGCACATACTTTAACCAGTCAGACCCGGTCATGCGTGGTACGTCTAGTCGTAATCGAGAATAATCCGTTGCAGCGGCTGCCACCGCCCTTCCAAAGCGAATCACCCTTGGTTCTGTCCAGCGCGTTCGAATGTTCCATTTTGTTGCTCTTCTCGACAATGCTGGGACAAACTAGGTCTCCCAACACGGTGATACTGGGGGACCTAAGCATTCGCACATAACTGAAAAGTCCTCCTTCAACGGCAGGAAACTTGTTTCAGCAAGCTCGCACTCTTTTTCACACCGATTGTCACGCGCAGGAAAACTTCACCCTGAAGTGGTTGTTGGTGGCACGATTCCCCCTTTTTTTTTTTCGGCTAACTTCACAACAGCAAGTTTCAATTTTGCGTTATATATAATTACTGCAGCCAATCACAAGAGAACAGTAAGAAGGCGAAGGACAGATGGTGAAACCTAAACTTTCAAAATCACCGAAAGATGCATTGCAGTGCGGACGCAGAGAACGAGGGGAACAGTTGGCACGACAAGCCTGACAGGCCCTCACACGCCTCCTGTGCCGAAAGTTGTCCGTGACATGACGCGAGCGTGCATTCAGAAGATGGTAGAGATGGAGAGATACAGGGGACAAAGGTTTGTGCAGTTCTGACAACCCGTCAACAGGTTTCAAGTTCGTGCACGGTATTCTAGGGAACCTAGTTCAGGGAAAGTCTTCGAAAGAACTGACTTTGCACTCTCAGCCCGTCTGACTGCACTCGCCCGATCGGCGGTGCGCGATCCTGGGGTGCACATCCAAAGAATCCGAAGGTCCACAGTCTCTTCATGCACGCACTGGTGAGCTGGCTCACCAGTGCGTGCACTGCGAGTGAATGTGCGAGTAAATATTTTTTTTCATAAAGCTGACAAAATAATGGGGCTGCGCAAATTATGCATGGTGCTAGTTATGCAAGTAAATACAGTAAACGAGCTGAAAGTTTTCCACCAATGTCATCCTACTTCTCTCTAACATCATCCTTAGTGTGCGGTGAAAATGTAAAAAAGCAAGTACCAACTCGGCCAGACTCAAGTTCTCTTGAATCGTACGAGATGAACGACAATGGCCTAAAGCTCAGTATCTAGTTAAAAGCACATTGTTTCCGGGACCCTGGAGAGAAAGATGTAGTCGATTTAGGTGTGCATTATTTGAAAATGAAAAATTAATTAGTGAAAAAGAAAGCATACTTGGAAAAGTTTGAATTTCATCCTAGAACCACAAACCAAGCAGCCAGCGCAATGTCACCAACCTAAGCCTCCTATAGGAGCAACACTCCTAATTTAGATGCTAATGGCTTTAGAACATTATCTAGTCTCTTTTATACTGTGTAATGAGCTCCATTTCCCAGTAAAATGCAAAAACTTTTTTACTTGAGTGTGACAACTTTAATGTTAGACTCGTGTGAATATTTGTAGGAATATTACACTATTCGAACTTCTTTTGATTTGAATGTAAATTAATGTAAGTATGTATTCGGAATGAACGAATAGGAGTAGATGTATATTAGCCGGCTTCTTACCCCTCTGTAAAGGTGGTTTCGCTGCCATAATGTTGTGCTCTGCCGTGCTTGAACATGTATAGCACATTACAGGGAAGAAGAAACGGTCGAGCAGACCGACACAAGAGGAGGCTTCCATTTCTTCTTCCCCGTAATGCGCTATACCTGTTCAAGTACGACGAACCAACTCCCCCAATCTTCAACACTCGTGCTCTGCCGTGATTACACTTAATCAGAAGAAATTCACACTGCCGTGAAGCTTCACTTCAAGGTTTATTGCACATATTGCCTTCACATTGATGCATCATTTTTAAAGTTTAAAAGCTTGTTATACTAACTTACAAGCTCTAAGTATAGAAAATTTCAAAGCTTGACCTATTTCACAGGTTATCTTGCAATCTACCGAAAGTCGTACCCTGCTGTTCTTAAAGGTTGCTTCCATTTTTTTTAACCAAAAAGAATGACATTTGCACATGCCTTGTTACGATTTTTTTTAATATTGCACAGGTTAAAGTGTTCATCATAAACGTGTGGATTTTTCTTTATAATATGTGTTATATACTATTTTAATTCAATTCAAAATTACCCGACGAAAGGACTATTTTGAAGTCACTTCAAACCTAAAATTTACTAGTATTTGTGCAAACAAAGTCAGTACAGCCTAGTTAATTTTCCCTCTTCATCAGAAAACCAGCAAATGCATGGGTGGGCACTGTGCACACTTGTTTTCCTTCATCTCATGACTATTCTGCTGTTGTTACCTGGTTTGTTTAAAAAAGCCACTGACAGCCTTTTCATTTTTATGTTGCGCCGCACTTCAGGCAGATGTGTGATATAGTCTGTTCTTTCCTTATCTTTGTAGAACTCTCACCAGGCCACATAGCCAGTTTTAGTCATGCACTGGAAGTAGTTAAATGCCTAACACAAAGCATCCTACAAAAAAAAAACCCACAACATTTTCGTATTAGTTCACCGCAAGCAGAAAGAAAAAAGTTTTGAAGCAGTGTGCAGCCATGATGCAATCAGAGTTCATTCATCAGATACTTGAGAAACTGCATTCCGAAACCTAGATTCTGCAGGTACCGGTAAAGCCCCTAAAAAAGTAGTGACGTATGTGATTATTCACGCGCCTCCTCTTTGCCCCCTCCTCTGACCTCTCCGAAGCTGGCACCGCGTCCGTATTGGCCAGATGCCATCACGTGGGACTGCTAGTTTACAGTCTCTTGCGACTACCATCTTTGCTCTCGAGATGCAGACTGCTTGATGTACAGCGCATCTGTTTTGATGGATACCAACTTGTCCTTCTGTGCACGTTGTGCTGTGAAATACTTTTCACCCAATAATGACGTCACTGCTCGTTGTGATGAGTGGTTGTTGCACTTTTTGATGCCAGAACAAGTTTAGTGACGGCCGAAAGCTCTTTGATACCGCCCACTAAGTGCAAAGAGTTGCGACAAAAGACATGGTTGCTTAGAATCGAAAGTGAAAATTTCAGGCCATCATTTTCTAATCTGCCTTGCAAAGCAAGTTGCACATCTCTCATTATGAGTATGGATTGATGTTTGCTCAATTCAATGCCTACTCCAACACAATAGACAAGTCGCAGTTAATTGTGCAGTACGTCGCGATCCCTCACTCAGGTTTCAATAAAGCTTCTGCAGGGGCTGTTTTTTTGTCAACAATGCAGGCTTGTGTGTTCAGCTTATTTTTATGCGCCGACTGGCCTGAGCTCGTGGTACTGGTTCATGTGTTTAACATGCATACAGAAAGATGCTCGAAATTATGATTGCGAAACTTTGGAGATACCGCACTGCTTTCTTCAAAAATATAACTGGAGTGCAGCAACTGACATTAATGTTGGTACTCTCCATTGCTTTTTGTTGTGTGCTCGTATATTTCAGAGCAAATCGGTTTCTGTGGCTCTCTTGCATTGACTGATGAGACGGGGGACTCGCCATGTGAGGGCAGCTATGCAAAGCGTGCATGCCTTTGAGTCATTGGGTGCGTGCATCGTTTAGGAACCTCACACATGCGTGCCATTTCGCGTAATAGTTTATTTGCTATTTCATGTGAAGGTTTATATTGGCGAGTGGAGCTCTTGCAAAGTAATTGCGTATGGTGGCGTGCTAGTTAATTCATACCCTAGTTCCTATGTGAGATACGTCCACAAGGCGCACTTTCTAAACATGATTGATTCGTAAAAGACTTCGCAAAAAAACCACAGCTGTTTGAGTGTATCAGCTATAAATTAGGTACACCTTCTGACACTCTATCAACGTGAAAGCCTTAGATGGCTCACCAAACGCTAAAATTGGCTGTCGGGCAAGCAAGAGCTCTCTGTGAAAGGGCGTCTGCTACGCAGAAGCAAGGCAGGTGGCGCCACATTCGAAATGCAAGTCCAAAGGAGGTGAGAAACGCGAGTGGAGGAAGAGAGAGTTGCTGCTTTGCGAAGTTTTTGAGGCTTTAGGGGCTGGTAGAGTGCCTCGATGCCTGGCGCGCATCGAGGCATCCTAGGGGCTGGCAGATTATTGCACCATATGGGAGGGGCAAAGCACTCTAACAACAGTGCCACCTGGCGTGCATTTCTCACAACTAGGCATGTGCGAATAATCGAATGCTTCGAATCATTGAACGAATAGTAGAGGATTGGAATTTGCTTCGAATCGAATTTACATCTGTAATGGTGGTTTCATTGCAGTGGAAAAGTGCTAAGCCATGAAAGCCAGAGGAAATCCCCGAGGCCCCCTCTTCAAACTTAAAGGCCCCCTGAACGCTTAATGAGCATGGTCAGAAATCGCTGTCGATCGAAAGCCGAGGCTACCAAGAACAAACAAGCCAAATAGTATAGCACAGCATGTGGCCTGCAGTTCACAATAAATTCTAAAAGTTCGCTAAAAATTGCTATCTTTTCTCTGCAAATGATGCCACAAACTCAAAAATCACTCGTCCCAGCCATTGTATCAGCCATTGGCTGATTTGAGCATGGCCTACTCCGTCGTTACTGGGCCCGCCATGGAAGCTGCGCGCGCGACCACACTGAAAAGCCGCAAATTCAAAAAAAAGAAGAAATAAAGAGTTGAAAGTCAGGAAGCTCGCGTGACTTTTTTTTTTCTGCATGCCGTCTCTTTCTTCTTAGTTTCCAGCGCTTTCGTCGGGACGAAAAGAAAGAATGCACCTACAGTGTGCGACGAATCTTTGAAACTCGGCTTGTACTAGATGGATTTGAAAACTTTCGCGGCGGTGAATTTATGAGGTAATAAGCTTCTGTAGTCAATCCATGCCATGGCTATGTGAAAAAGTGTTGCAGGGACCTTTAAATATAGATATTACCCTCAAATCATCATCTTATTAGGCTTACGAGCTTGTTATAACGTCTTATGTGCTCCAAGTATAATAAAGTTTTAAATGTTACGTATTTTACAGTTTATGACTTGCATCCTGTTGAAAGTCAAATCCTGCAATTATTGAGTTATTTCGACTTATATTGAACAAAAAAAGGTGGCGGGGACTTTGCATAAAAGGCATATTTTAATTTTTTTAAATATTGTGCAGCTTAGTTAGGTCATGATAAATATAGCCATTTTTTTTTCTCGTATACGCTATATTGAATCGAAATTATTCGACCGAAATCACTGTTCGCCTTTAATCTAAAATTCACTATTCACACAAGCCTACTCAGGACCTTTCAGTCTAAATTGGTGAAGAAACATCTCCTTTGGAGGTCCAAGTAACTTTTTGGGACGTTAAACCCCACATATCATCAAAGTTCAGGTAACTTTCATACGAAGAAGTGATTCATGCACAGTGTGTTACAAATGCAAGCCCACACAAAATGCTACGTCTGTGCTGCAAGGCTAGCAGATAGCTACAATAGTTACGGATACCTTGTTCAAGAATTAAAGTTTTTATCTTACACAGAAGTAGCTTGTTACACAGAAATAGTTTGTTATAAATTTATATGTTATTTATCTTGTTATAACTAATAATTTGTTATATCCATGTTAGTTACACCTAAGATTTTCGTGTATTCACGCACTCTGGAAACAACACATAAGGGTCGACATAGAGAGTAGTATACACAATTTCTCCAGGGGAGTGGGGGTCGATTTATGGAAGGACTTTATAGGTCCTCTTGAAGGTATGAATTGAAAAATCGTATAGTGAGAGAGCGGCGAGGGGACGTTTGACCCCTCACCTCTCAGGATCCTATAGTGGAGGTTACTGTTGTGAACATGTGCTCCTTGCACAAATGCTGTATCGGACAGCAGTTGTGTGATTTTGGCTGGCACCGTAGGCTGTCAACGATACACAAGCGACATAACACACAAAGTACTGCATCGTAACTTATTTTTAGAGCACACTGACAAAAAGAAGGAACAACAAGGTACTGCGATTGAATCATCCCTGACGTTCGACTCTCCACGAGGGGCCCACAGCAAACAACTCGCAGTGTTGTCCCCCTTGGACCCAGCGCAGGAGACGTCCATGGACGCACGCTGTCAAATTCCAAAGAGATTCGCTGCTGCTTTCTCTGTGCGCGCCTAATCTTTTTTGCCATGTAGCTCTGCTAGTGGCACCGTGCGAACCCAAGCACTGATAGCACTACCACTCGCTTGGCAGCTGTTAAACCTAACCGCAGCCAATCTATAAGACGCGCGTGCACCATGAGGTTTGAACGACTTTACAGGGGTGGAAGCACGCCCACAATTCCCTATGTTGTATGTATTGATTCAAGTTCAAGCAACCATGAAATCATGTGCCAACCGTTAGATGGGCAGTTTGCCATAAAATTGAGTGTATACTGAAAGACAGGATGCTGCGAAGTTTTTTCTGGTGTTAGATAAATGCTTATGAAGGCATGATAGATCAGTCTGCATGTTGTTTTGCACACTGAACTGCCGCTTCAAAATTTAAATTATGAATTTAAATCACTAAGTATGCTATTTCGTTTTCTTTATTTGTAACATTTGAGTGGGAAGGGGTAGATGTTGCCAAGTAACAATGACAACTTCGTGTTTTCTATTTCAATAAAAAAAATAGAGAGGGCTTGTTTTTTTGTCAGGCACATTAATTTTAAAGTATAACAGACAATGATGTCAAGGAAAGTTTAGGGCTTAGAGTTTTATACAATACTTGCTAGAAGGAACTCTGACGCTACTGTCTATGGGAGCTGCAAGGCGTGGCACTTCAGTGAGCATGGGAATCATGGGTAGTACACATATTTGTTGTCTCCATACTTCTGGCCTGCTTGTGGCTCTTTGTGTGTTCATATGGCTTGGAGCTGTTTTTTCACGAAACGAAAATCGATAAATGTTCAGCTGTTGCACCTCACCACCTAATTCTTTTAGGCTTACCGTTTCGAATAGGGTCACGAAGTTCAAAAGGGTTCGTTCTTTCTTTTAAAATGAAACCGAAACCAGCAACAAACGAAGTCGTTAATATGATTCGCCGCCCGCAAGTATGAAGACTAGGCAAATCCGTGTACTACCCATCATTCTTATGGTTATATTGACCTATTCTGGGTCACTCTACCCATGTTCGCTGAACGATCACAGCGCCAGAGTCCCCTCTAGTTAATTTTAGAAAACTGTATGGTTTAGGGGTGTTATAAATGTGAAGAAAGAAAAGTAGAAGAAAATATAATTTGCTGCCGGTTGAGCATTGGAGGCGTTATTCGAAAGTCGCAGGTTCGGTTCTTGCCAGCAGCAAGTTACCATTTTGATCCACTTTTCTTTCTTTTCATTGAAGGGTTTGTGCCGTCTTGCTGACAAGAAAATGGTGCCAGCCGGTTGAACTACCAAGCCAAGAATTTATTAACACTAATCAATGTTTATTTTTAAAGCTCGTGAGTGGGCCATACGCATCAATGGTGCGCATCAGGTGTCGCTCCAGTATGGTGGCTAGAATTGGGAGGTGACGCCAGCGCCCGCATATTCGCCGAGCGCGCGCGATCCTCGTTTTCAAGCGCCGCCGCGACGGCCACCACGGCGCTCCTGTCGGCATAGTGATGCGGGCGAAGCGCGCGCTCCGCGCTCTCTCGTCGACTCGCCGCTGGGTTCGCTAGTTCGCCTCTGGAAGCGTGTCTGGGTGTGTGCAGTTTTCCGCGTTGATGTCTCGCTTATGGCAAAATGTATTTAGTTGCTGACATGACAGTGTGAGTGCCGACCTTAGGATGAACTCCAGCACTACGAAAGCGAGGCAACGCCACTGCTTTGCTCCTGGCTGCACGAGCGGCTATGTGTCATCGAGGGAGCAAGGTCAGCGTGCTTCTCTTTTCTCTGTTCCCAAAGACCCTGCCCTCTTCGAAGCCTGGCAACGAGCCGTACCCCGTGCCGACAAGTCGTTGGACGTGAAGTCGGCGCTATGTGAGCTTCATTTCGACGAGCAGTTTATTGAGCGTTTTTACACGCATGTGATAAACGGCGAAACTGTTCAGATTCCCCGAGGGAAACCGGTGCTGAAATCTGACGCGGTGCCAACCATATTCCCAAATGTTCCTGCGTATCTTTCAAAGAAAGTGCCGAAGAAAAGGACGTCAAGAACATCCACTTGCGGCCTACCATCGAAAATTCGGCGTCAGGAACCAAGCACGTCTGCTTGCGAGGAGACAGCTGGCTCGTACAGCACAGAAAGCGACAGTAACCAAATACCTGTTCCGAATGTGCCCGCAATTCCCGACGTCCGCAAGTGTGGTCTTCCCAGCGCTTACTGGGCTCGACATCTAATTGCTGGAGCCGACAACGCCACGGTGTTTACAGTTTGCGCACTAGATGGTGACAAGTTGACTATTGACAAGTATGTGCTAATGACATCAGATGAAAACAAACTTCAAGCGACAGCTTTTGTGCA